TTAACATGGGTAGTTTGATTATTTATGCCCGTTTCTTGGTCTGAAAATGAAAAGTATCGTTTGCCAATTCGTATTCAATAAATGGGAATTTTCGTTCAACTAGGAAAATCCAAAGTGTAGTCGTACCTGCACCTAGTTATTCTTAAATTAACACACCAGTGAATTATCTTTTCGATTTTCGGCCGTCTGGGTTTGTTTTGTAGTCCGTGTCCTCCATTATTGCTTAACGTCTCTTGGTGTTTCTACGTACATACTTTCTTTGTCTCAGACTTCTCTGAAAAAGGATGAGATTGAAGTGCCCAATTCTGCGTCCTCGGAGTGTGCGATCGCTGGTAAGCCATTTGACTGGATATTTTTAGTCTCTCCTAGACTCCACGGATGAACACTCCCTACGATTAGTACTCTTAAGCGCAACTTTTAGTGAAAATTTATGCCGCGATCTAAAAGTAGCCCCCTGTTTTGTTTCAAACCGTAGTGGAAGGGGGATAGTTTACATGGGGATGTTTTGATAAACTCAAAATCACACGACTACAGATCTCAGCCACTTTTTCTCCGGCCCGTCAACTTCCTCCCGATTTGGCTTCTGTCATGTATATGTCATTTATGTTGCGGCGTCCTCTCGAAGGGACACTACTGACCCTAAGGGACTGCCAAAGTGGTCGCTACCTGTTTTTTCGAATCCGTTCCGAGAAACGAGCGGCAAAAGTGATCTTTGTGAATTACCAGCACAGCTCACTCTTTACACTGCTTCAGAGTGTTGGATTCCTCCGCTCATGCCACAGCCTGCATATTTCTGCATCATCAGCTGTTGACCTTTATGCAGCGACCTGGTTGCTAATGACGATTTTCTGACTGCCCTTCTTTATTTTGACCTTGATTCTTCTAACCTGTCCTTCGGTTTACCTAGGCTACTTACCGAAGTTTTCAGATGAAGCTGTCTGCAATTTCATTCCCGATTTCCCATTCCGGCCTTTCACACTCCTATCCTCGGTTAATGGAGGCATATGTGTCCTGCTGCTTCAAACAGCCAACTGCACGAAGCTTTAGATGTCAGTCGTGTTAGAAAAAGTGGCAAAGTTCAAAGACCCTCCTCGGGGTTCTTGGACTAATGACCTGATGTTACGGCACACCGAACAACTTATCAAAGTAAAAGTAATCTAAATAGTGCACAAACCGTGACCATTTGACGCCATCAAGCCAAAAATGTGGTTATGTAGGCTCACCTGAAATAAACAAACCCCAGCCACCTGTAATAGGGAACCGGTGGTTATAGGGGTTTTTACAGGTGGGGCCGGGGAACGCACAGGCGACGAGGTCTAGTAGTGTTATGCAAAAGAAACGTTATTGGGAATGCGCGGTTGTACTTTGAGTGGTTGAGAAATAGTTGCCTATTTCTGTAGCTGACTGAATACACTCTTTATCTTTAACGACACGCTAATAGCTGTAGCTTGAGGGTTGCCAACTGACAGCATAATTTAGTCCTACTCAGAACAGATAGTCAAGCGATAACGAGTCCTCCTTTGGGTCGCTTTTGTAACACTCTCAGTTGTGTGAGATCTGCGACTCCCCAGTAAGAATCCGTTTGTGCAAACTTAGGGCCCATCGCGCGCTCAGTACCCGTAAGTAGGGCTTCAAATCTGGCGATAAACACTCCCGCTCCTTTCCTCAACCGCCTTGATTCCGTTTTATCATTGAAACAGGATGTGCTTTGAAAGAGACAGTGAGGTAGACGCGGCGAAAATCTCTGCTGGAAATAGACCGACGCATGTGTCATCACTGCGCTGCCTAGGGGACAGTGCTGGTTCTCATCGCCTCCGACGAACGGGCTCATCTGTTCGCTGCAGACTTATCCTAAATGGGCGATTTCGTCCTGCATATGGTGCACGCAGTGTCATAGTGGCGTTTTGCTGGAGACTCGCGCAATCACACTGGTCAACCTCACGCAAAAATAAGTACATTTCCGGTACATTCTACCCTTTTGACTGTTTTTCGGTGTTGTTATGTAGCCAATTTTTTGAAGAGACCGACCAGTCTTTGTTGTCTGTAACAATTCCGCGGGATATAAGTCAACCCTGAAAAAAAGGTATACGTAGTTTAGAACTTTTTCTAAACTATGACCACATTCTCTTTTCAAAAAATAGCTGTAAGAAAAAATGACTTCCCACAAAATTAGCAAAAGGTGCTTATTTTCTTAAATGATTTTTGTGAAAGTAGCCGACATTATGATAAACTTGACGGGATAGTTCGCCAGTCTGGATACACCGTAAAACATACTCTTCCCGTTGCGTCCTTCAGCTCCACAGACTGCCTCACAGTGACCAGTCATGGTACAGGAGGGAATACCAATAAAGACCAACGGAGACTGGGATGACCATTTTAACATTATTAGTCGGTGCCAGCCGATTAATGCCCGATGAACAATCAATTCGGCTGAGTCCCAGGTTATCCAAAGCAGGGATTAGGGTATTGCTGACCGATGACGATCGTCCCGATCTGCGCTGGTAGTTTATTTGTGGTTTAGGGATTTTATGGTAACTGATAAGTTGTGGAAAATGTCCGCTGGAAAGCCGGCATGGGGATTAGTGGGAAACCATTCCCGTACCTATCAACACTGCGACCTCCGTTGGGCGTTGCTTTCTAAATGACTGCATATTTAGGAACTTCTGGCAGTGCTTTATGACGACCAAAGTGTACATGTGCTGTCAGGAGTTGTTACTTAAAGGCAAATTCACTTAAAACTCCATCTCGTTGACCGCCCAACCTGCGTCTCTTTGTATCTAACTTGTGCCCAGTAATGATCCAATTTCGGCACAAAACCTCCGCTCCTCCGATCCACTGCTAGGATTAGTTATATGGTGCCCCTTACCATGGGGAGCTATCCTGACCATAAAACCTGTTTTGCCTTCTAAACTTGTTAGACTTCTATACGAAACTGAATGTCATTTGATATCAGCAATTCGGTTTCCAGAAATTTAATTAACCATACAGACGTGTATAAAGTACCTTGTCTGGACTTCCTACTTTTGTTAGTTTTTTAACAGCTCTGTGGTCGGCATTAATAAATAGTTTGATCGGGTACACTCTTCCGTGCGGTGGGCTTTTCGTGCCAGACTGTTCGCAGCCACTGTTAGGTTTTCTTTTCAAACTGTCATTCTGTACTCTCTCCTGATAGACGACGCTCCTCCCTCATCGTCCTCCCCAACTGCGTCTAGCGACTGGATCATTCTGGATACTCCGCCATCCTTAAGACCGGTCGCCGCATCCTCCAGTTCCAAGCGCCTAACTGGCCGTCCCGCACTTGGCACCCTCGTTGTGCCTGGCATTGACACTGTTCCAGGCACTTTACCCGCACCAGTTAAGCTAACTCCCCGGCAGCATAAGGCCCCGCGCCGATCCAGCTTCCTTCTCCGTCGACATGAATTGGCCAGGGAAAAGCGCCTGGCTGAGGCTTTGCGCACAGGACGGCTGGTGGCTCCCGAGTCACGCAACGGCAATTACGATGGACTGAACTACGCTCCAATTGAGCAGAATGCCTCCTCTACAGGCGCCATCCAGATAGCAGCCAGTCAGCGCGCTCGCAAAATGGCTCTAGCTGCGGCAATGACTGCATCCAGCCGAGGTCCCGCTAAGCGGTATTGTGTAAATCAGGCCACATCTTCACAAACGATCAATGATACCGTGGTTGATGGCGAGGCTACTAGTCAGATGGAACGCAGTTTCGTTTTTGAGGATGATTGTCCACCTACTTCACGAAGGACGTCGCTACCCTTGTTGTTACCCACAGCGAAGCTCGACACCCAGGAACTTGATGCGCTGAACGGTCTCCTAAACGAAGATCCAACCCGTAGGGTCTTGAAATCCCCCAGGGCACATCCCCACTCGCATAAATCGTCCTTGCGGCCCGTCACTCTCCTCTCGACCCCAGCAGATTCCCAAAAATTGTCGTTGGATAAGGAGAATATCGATTTATTGGGTGAACTTGACCACTCTCCTGCGGTGTGCACACAGTCAAAGCACACGCAGAAGGACTCACCTAGGTCCCCGAACCCCCCTTCGCCCCAAACATCGCTCACCCGGGACGGTAAGCATAAAAATGAAGCTGAAAACACATCACCTTCACGACCTCAAGAAGGGTCGTACACATCTGACAACTCCTTGGTCGGTGCCGCACTCAGTGACTGGTCGTACACTTCAAGCGATGGGTACGCAGTTTTTTTCCTTCTATAATTTTCAGCTTCAGGCTTCTGGACACGCTGGGTTTTACATTTGGAGCCTTAAATCAACTTATCCTATTCGTCCACCCCTCCTCTCCCCGCAGTCATCTGGTTACTGCATTTCTGCTCACTAATATAAAGAGGTTCTTGGCGTCTAGAAAACGAGTCCGGGCTAATGCGTTCATTCGTCAGTTTTCGTGAGGCAACCTTACCCCCACCCGAATGAACGATTCGAACTCTTGATTGGTGGTGGTAGCCTAACGCTCGTAATCCCACTCGTTTTGGGCTTCCAAGTTTAAAGTAGGGATATGCTAAGGTCGCATAGGGCCTGAATTCACATATTCAATTCCCTGTAGGCCTTACTGCTCCACATACGCTACGAGTCCCCTGTTGTCTAAATCAAACTGTTTACTTAACATATAAGAAGAAAAGATGTCAGTAGAATACCGCGCGGGGAACCTTTCGCCTTTAACTTTCCCTTTTATGTCCAACAGAGCTTATTTTAAGGATTTTGACAGGGACGAACTTTTACGTATTTCGATTACGCATATGCCCTGACAACGAGTTGGTGGCGTTTCGAGTTTGAACGTAGGACGTCAATTTCATGGACTCTCACCTTTATAGAGACTTCATTAATGGTTTCAGACCTTTTTTTCTAAGAATGCTATTTGTCTCTTGGAATGTCTCGCCAACGAATAAGTGTATGGCGCCAAACTGAAACGAATCATCAAACTCTCCAGGCCTCTGTCGAAGATCATGACGGCACACCGAAAACTGCTGTTCATCTACTCGAGCAAACTAAATTATGGTTGCATGTTCCATGCATTTTGTGTAAAGCTCCTGTTCACCACTTAGGCTATAAAGTGCTCGTAGGTTGTGATTCCTGGCGATTCGCCTTGCTGTCCTATGAAGTGGAAGGAGCGGTCTTCTGTCTTACTGACCAGCCTTTCCTGATGATTCTTGTCTGCCTTTTGCCAGAGAATTTCCATCAAAGTGGTCTGCGGGTGCTTTCGTGCCTTTGCCGTTTTCCCTGCCTCTCGATTCTGTCCTCTCTGAACGCGTCTATTAGGGTTACTGTATTGATTTTCTGCTACCTACCCGCCTCCACCGACGTCTCCCTCAAAGTGCCTCGTTGAGATAAGTAACCTGCAGACGTTTCGGCGGTGTCTGAACGATTTTCGTCCCAGAATTTTGTCACCTGTTTGCCTGCTGGCGTTTTCGGTCCTTTCAAAGTGGAGTTTACACCTTTAGTTCGGTGTCGGTGGGCGGTCACTGATGCGTGCGTTGTAAGACCGTGACCTCTAAGTGAATCGGGAAAGAAACTGAAATATTTACTTATTTGCGCTATCACCTTTCAACCCTTTTTCCACTTTTCTTAAAAATAAACTGTTCCAGAGTTATTACTTGACACTAGCTGTACATCCCGTGAGGAGAACCATGCTAGGTCTGCCGAGTATATCACAAAAGTTGTCTCGATTATCGACGCTGCCTCTCGCTAATCTCTTTCGTCTATGCACTGCAGAACTATTCCACTATTGCTCGAGTTCCAAAAATTGGGACATAGCCTAGTTTGCCTAACTTTCTGGTCCTTCCCGCCGACTGTCGAAATTTTCCGGATCATATGCCTACGGGAGTCGTGCTCCTAAGTTAAAAAGGACATGATGAAATCAGTTAACCTGTTTCAGAGTGTTGTAGCTCCATCCATGTCTTTTGGTTGTAGACACCTAATTGACTCCTCATGCGTTTTAAAGCGACGATAATTCTACCTTTGTACGATAGTTCAACCGTCTGCAGTGATGACGTCCGCCACTGCCCCACGAGGTGGACCCAGCAGCGGTGACTTGCAAGTGAATTTGTTTATAGTAAAGCAGGTTTGTGCCTAATTAACGTCGAGCTCTCCTCCCTCGCCCACCTCCCTTTGATGACAACACAACTTTAAGATGATCGGCTGTGGGTGCGGGGGTGCGGGCTCAGTGGCTGACAAGGCTAAACTGCCCTTCTAGGCGAGCCGAACGCGACCTTCTCCCTATCACCCGTGTGCCAGTCCGCATTTGAGGGGAAGGGGAGGTGAACTTCGCGTAGGTGAGAGGTGCGATAAAGGCTAAATTAAGAAACGGCCATCACAGCCTGACCCTCAGATCCTGTGAAGGCCCGAGTTACCACGTCACTTTGCAACCCCCCAAGCCAACACTGATAGCACGTCAAGGTAGATTAAGGGGCGTCAGATTTATTATATTGGGGAATGCACTAGTTTTCCGTGACGATGAATTCTCCGGTGTTGGCCTCTTCCATCTCCATCATCTGTCAGATAACCGACGATGAGGTTGGACTCGGTGGCCTGAGAACCTGCGTCTAAGGCGTGCACTCGCACACGACAGACACTTGCCATAGTTCCCAGGCCACTGAGGGTTACTTGATTAGCAGCCTGACGCCTTTATTGCGAGTTTCTCCGATCCTACTACTTCTCTTTTCTATTCCCACACTTTTTGTTATGGCATATTCCTCATATTAGTGTCCGTTCTCATATGGCCCTTGTAAAACTTTTACAGATGGCTCAAAATCACGCCCTCACTAAATTTTAGACTTGGGGTCGCAACGGAGACGTTTCTACCCTCTGACCTCCCTACTGACAATCGCAATTGGTTTCGATGTCAAGTTCGCGCCGTTGTTCCAACAAAGTAGGCCCCCTATATTACGTGAAGCACTTTTTTCATTTGCATATACTGTTTCTGCAGTTTTTTTTAAAAATGCACGCTAGTCCTGTTTGAAAGGTGTGTCTGTCTGTCGCTATCCTCTCTTCTATCAGTACTAACATCACTGGTTTCCCGTTCCCATATTGTCCCTTCGTTCGAATCTCCAACTCCCACCGACACTCTTGTCGGAGACTGCTACGTTTTATTCTTTCTTGACCGGTAGCAAATGCTAGTGTTATCTTCTTTATGCATGTGTCGAGATCACTCACTGGGGAGACGACAGTTCGACTATCGCGAACGATGCTCCGCATCTTGGTGGGCGCGGTCATGGTGACTTGCGCGGGAATAAGTCTATAGCAATATTAGACTTGCGATGCGTCTGCCGCGCTTTCGCCTCCCCCGCCTACCTGAGTCATGACACAGTTAGGAGGACTGGAGGCGGGGTCAGGCGCAGTGTCCAACAAAGCTGAACAACTCGTCTACGCTTGTCACACACGTCTGTTCCGCACCTGATGTTCACAGAAGTAGGAAGTGGTCGGCTCAGATCCCATCTGAGTGCGGGTACCACAGAGGCCACAGTAAGAAACCATTGCAGCCTGACTCTTCTTTCGGGGAGGGGAACCGGGTCATCCTGTCAGTTGGCAGGTTTCCATGCGCGTCAGCATGTTTATAGTGAGGAAATGCGCTGAAGTGCCGTAAGGACGGAGCCTCCAAATTCGACCTCACTCTCTCCTCCCTGACTCAGACACCTGCTCACTGTCCGAGTCGGTCAGCCATCTGATACGAGGACTAGACGCAAGTGTCTGGCGCAGCCCAGGCCTGCGCTCGGGACTTACTACCAGATCACCCCCATGTGTGGCATTTGTTATGGGATGCGCAGACTCTACGCGCCTCGGTTAACGCGTGCCGTTCAATGCAAGTGGGATATTACAGCCAATTTGCGAAAATCCGAGTTCTTTAAGTCTCAACTCTGACTTAGCGACTAGCCAGAGTAAAACATACAGGGCCCGTGCACTGATCATTTCTGCTTGGATATTCTCGCGAGTTACGGTGTGAGTGTGAGCATGAAAACGAAGTAGCTGGCGCTCACCTGGCGTCCTATCAACTGGTTTGGTAGAGCATAGTAAAAATATAACTCAGTCGTAATTATGGCTTCTAGTGTACACTCGTCAAGAGAACGACTCGACCGCTCGTGTCTGGGAATGTAAGACATCGGCTGCTAATTCTCGTTTGGGGACACGAAGCTTACCAAGTGACGGTAGGTAGTACGACCCTTTGTGTCCATTGACGCATGGTTGGTATATTTCATGAACACAAAATACTTTTGACGTGGTTTTGTGAAGATCGGAGTCAAGCCCAGAGATGTTTTAAAAATTTCTTATTAACCAGCACGCTGACTTACTATCAATGGCTGCTGAGCCAGCGTCTAACTTGGACATCTATCCAAGAGAAACATGTTATATTAGTTTCGAGGCCAACCATAGTACGAATGGTAAGCAAAACAACAAGCCGTATATGCACTAGCTAACTTCGACAGTGCTGACGATCTGGCCACTTGACCAGGGTGTCCTTGCTGAAAACAGTGGAGTGAAAAGTTCCACGGAACAACAATTATAGCACAAACCTGCAGCAGACAGTATAAAGCTGAGCATTGTTATCGGATGAAATTGGGAACCTTTGACTTACAATAGTGGACGATGTATTTATTATTGGTACGATAAAAATTATGCATTCTCTCCTGCAAGAAGTTTGAGTTATGGTGACGGTCTTACGCCTCCTGTCTACTTGTATTGGTAGTTTCCTTGCTGCTATGTTCACTACTTTGTAATAGGTAAAAAGCTCGCACCCGAACGGTCCAATCATGGTACACAAAACTGCCTGCGCACGGTATTTAGATTTGGAACCAACAAGTGCGATACTGACACTGGCCTGTTTAGACTGGCGTTTCCTCCGGTTTCGATACTAAAGAGTTCATTATCTCAACATGCACCTCACCTTCAACTACCACTTGGGAATGATAAGTTCTAATCATCCGATAAGCATAATTATCCCTCGATGGCTTACAATTAAATGCGTAAATTAAAACATGAAATGCACTACAAAGAGGTAGGATTACACATAACCGTCTCGAACGCTCTGTCCGACATGCGATTGTAACACCTATTGCAATTAGCTACACTAGGACTGTTAATTTAACAAAAAGCGTTATGTATTTAGCATGTAATGCGTGCGCGGTGCTGTCTTGCGCTATATGCAACTTTATATTACACTTCTTTTAATGCCCTAGTTGTCTTCTTCTTTAGTGATTTCTGTGTTCCATAAACGCAAGGCTTAGATATTACGCCACTGTGCACCCTCTTTTTTCTCAGCCGGGCCTTGAAAATTTCACTTGATATTTGCGGCGTTCCGGCTGGTGTGAAGTTGGGCATCGAAGCTGACCTGTCTGGAACATGGTGAGTACTGAGGTGTTTCGCTTCTGCCTACAGTTTTTTTGTTCAGTAGACACTTTTCTTGTAGGTAAATAAACTCGGGCCGACAAAGACAAGGGAGACCGGGATGGCCATTTCCGGCTGACTAGCTGTCGTCGGCCAGCCTTGCCAAACCTCATGTGTGGGGATATCTGAGGTCCGGACCCGCGTTCTCAAGCTTCAGTGAGTCCAACACTCAACTCACTGAGCCACGGGCTCGTTGTCTCGTCGGTCGTGATCGGTCACATTAACCATGGTAGAGGGTGCTCACTGATTAAGTTACGGGAGTTGCTTTTCACATAGTGCCTTTTTGTTCTGGTAGAGAGCCGCTCACCGATCGTGTTACGGAACTCACTTGCACCGTTGTATCCAACCAGCAGCCGCACAACGGCACGGGATCGAGCCTCAGGCTTTCCACACTTCGGTATAACCGGCTGGAGACGACCAACAAGGCCGAAATGGCCATTCCAGTCTCCCTTGTCTTTGTAGGTAATGTTACCCTGCCTTTGTCTTATGTCTGTCCTACTACAGCATACGCACTTTGGTTAAGCATAATTGTCGATTGCGTCCTCTCATCTCGTTAGATCCTTTTTCACTCATAGGTTTTTTTATCGGACCACTGCTTTTTGCTTGGCCGAACTTCCGGACGAGCATAAAAAAGATGTTGCTGAACAAAAAAGGCAGTTGTAACCGCTTATTCAAAGTAGTAACTGCAGGTCGCTTCAGATTCGTTCCTTGCTTACCCCTAATCCTTCCATGTTTGTAACACTGATTGTCTTTGATCGCAATACCTTACTTATGGTTTTTAAGTAGCGCGTTTATTCGGGCTCGCCCTCTGATAGGTCGGTTACGAGAACGGGCACCATCTGCCTGTTGCGCCTTGACAGTCGCGTTCTCTTCGTCAAAGGCTGTTACACAGTGATCAGCAGCCAAATATAAGGATATTACCGATGCTGACCTTAAGATTGGAATGATCGTTCTTGGTCGTTCGCTGTCGTCAACTAGCCAATCCACGGAAGCCCGTCGTCCGGACGTGATTCAGTCTTGTTTAGACGGTCCGAAGTCTAAAACATGAGTTTCTGAACTACGCGTGGAAATATTTAGACTGATAAATATGCTTGCCAACATTGGGACGCCGCCCGTCCATCACCGGTGTGTTACCAA